GAAATTAAACATAGTTCATCTGGATCCTTCAATTTCTTTCCATTCTCTTTTTTAATGTCACACTTAAGTTATTATCACTAATTAAGAGAATTCCTAAAGATACACAAAATACTTATGTGAAGACTGGAGCAACTGACTAAAACCAGTCTGCTCCCCAAGAATTATGTTTCTATACAAGCCTCTATTTCTATAAGACTGTTTTTTGTAATACAACACTCCAATACAATTATGATAATAATTACCCCTGTGGGATCATCATGATTGCCATGAATACTAAAAATTGGCATAGAAATGTTGAGATTTCTATCCTGATAATTCACCCATGGAAACCTGAACAAGAAGATGGAAAAAAAAGTTAAACTGTATCTGCAAATTTCTGGAAAATTCCCAGTATTCTGTACAAATTAACGTCACCACAAATACATTGGGACAGTAACACAAATGAGTACTAAGTGGCTATGAATAAGCTTAAGCTGCACAGAGTAAGAAGATTCTTACTCATGGACCCGAATGGCACTTCCAGCTGGGAACGGGGTAGCAAAAAGATCCTATTTTTTTAGAGCAAGCCTATGAAAAAAAATTGTACAACGTATTGTGTGGTAAGTGCAAGAGCAGCAGACTGGGCTGGGCAACCTCTGTGTGCACACAAAGAACGGCTGATTTTACCACGGCAATGCATGTGTATTGGTTTACTTGCATTGTGCTTGCAGGATAGAAACTATCTATTACATAAATGCATTAAATGTCACAACCCAAAGTTGCTAAAAAAAATGTGTACATTCCTTTATAGGTTTAGATTATAAAACATGATAGGTGAAGTCATCCTGTAAACTGTCCGACACAAACAGGCCTAAAACTTGAAGGTTCTGGTCATGGAGGGTATAAATCATAAAAATCACAACAAGTTCACCCAATACACAAATCAAACCTTACACCATAATTTGCAGGAACACACTTACTTGCTATAATGAAAATTAACTGCTTGATCACTCAAAATTTCAAACTGAACAGGACGGTCACCCATGCAGTATCTTCTTAGTGACTCCAAACAAGAGTGTACCGTTTTTCTGGAAGGTTTGTTTTCATGAAAAAGGTCCCCACCTAATAAAACAAAGTCCACCTGTATGTAACAAAAAGCTCTATTATTTTAATACAACATTTTGTACTACTTTGAAAGACTTCTAAGCAAATTGTTTAAATTATTTCTTCTAAGGAGTTCCACGCACTGGCTCATATCTGGAATTCGAGGTAAAACGAGTTGCTAGTTGCAGACACTGTATTTAATTTCTTCATGAAACAAACACTAACTCAATTATTCCTTAAAACAGAAACAAACCCAAGACGACCTATACATTGAAGAGGTATAGGAGAAAACAACTGATAGCGTTGAAAAAAATAAAAGTGAAGTGTTTTAGTAAGGGTCTCCAGGTCAGCTCCTGAATGTTTTCTTTGACAGGCACAGAGATACACCATCTTTTCATTACTGTGGTACCTAGCGGCAAGAAAACAGTAGCTACCTCCACATTACTTTGAGAAGATACTAGCTTAAGTTACTGCATATATTTAGCTTTTTAAAATGCACTAGAAAAAAAAAATCATCAAAATTACAAATAATTTTACTATGAAATATTCTTAAATTCTTAAAAGCAGAATCAACATTTTCAAAAGTTTCCAACTTTTTTCTTCTACTTTCTGAGTTGTGTGAAGACTTTGTATCATTACCCGCACTCTCCCCAAATATTTTCTGTTCTTGCTGTGATAAATCCTCTCCAAATACCGCTGAAACTGGTGTAGGCACACTGCAAACACTGTTAATGCAACCAGGGTCATAACCTAGTAAGAATGCTTTCACAAAGCAATAAGCATTCCTCCTACTGAAACAGAAAGTGATTGCAGGAAGTAGGTCAGTTTAGTCACAGAACCACAGAACGTTCGGGGTTGGAAGGGACCTCTGTGGGTCATCTAGTCCAACCCTCCTGCCGAAGCAGGGTCACCTACAGCAGGCTGCACAGGACCTCGTCCAGGCGGGTCTTGAGTATCTCCAGAGAAGGAGACTCCACAACCTCCCTGGGCAGCCTGTTCCAGTGCTCCGTCATCCTCAGAGGGAAGAAGTTCTTCCTCATGTCCAGACGAAACTTCCTGTGCTTCAGTTTGTGCCCATTGCCCCTTGTCCTGTCGCTGGGCACCACTGAAAAGA